GGCAAATTTTCTCTTTTTGAGATTTCTCTGGGTAGCCGTAAAAGTGTTTTTTTGTCGCTCGCAAGCAGGCTGGGACACCGGCTTGTTTGTGGCGGTCAACACTACAGCAGTCGGCGAAACAACGGGGACTGGCAGAGGGCGAAGCTTTGACGGCGGTCCGGCCGCAGCGGGAGAGCACCGTCGTTTTCTTAACTTTGCTAGGCAGACTTCTGATGATCAGGCTTCAGCGTGATCTTAGGTCGCGGGCCCCGTGGGGGCGGCGGTCTGCGGCGGCTGTCAGAGCGAGAGCGAGGGCGGCCGCCCTGTCTGCGCTGGGCTGTTTGAGTCTGCGGAGGGGGGCGCTGTGGTGGAGCTCTGGCAGGAGGCTCGCGAGAGCGGCCCGCGGAAGAGCTAGCGCGGCGGGGCAGAAACAAATTCATCGCCTGAGTAGCTTTCTGGACCTCGGAAAAGCGATCGACGATTCCCGTGACAGCAGATCCAAAAAGGCCCGTCGGGGAGAGGGGCGCGTTAAGAAACGCGGCGCGCTCAGAATCTCCCATGTCGGCGAGCGTGAGCCATAAGTGTCTCTCGGCTACACAAAGGCTGGCCATGCATCTCCCCAGAGCTTGTGCGGCGGCTTTAGTGGCGCGAAGGGCGAGGTCCGTAGCACTTCTCAGATCCGTGACAGCGGGGGAGGGGTTTCTACCGCTTTCGGCCCACTCACGGAGAATATCGCTCTGTAATACTTGGAGGACAGACATAGAATGTAGCGCTGCGGCGGCCTGACCGGCGGCGGCGTAGGCGCGAGCATGAAAGCTCGAGGTCGCTCTGCAAGCTTTCGAAGGAAGCGTGGGGGAAGAGCGCCATCTAGCAGAGGGCGGGCAGAGGTGTGCGGCGACCAAGTCCTCAACGGGCGGCATGGCTGAGTAACCTTTTTCGGCGGCTCCGTCCACCTAGCGCAGCGAGGCGGATATATCGGAGCGGTTTCTAGCCGAGAGCGGGGCATTCCAGGACTTCGTCAGCTCTGTGTGAAGTTCAGGCAGGAATGGGGCGGCCCGGTTGCACGCGGGGGTCGAGCGCCGATGAAAAAAGCTGCCGTCCATCCGGTTCGGGGCCTGCTCGGGTGGAGGAGACCACTCGAGACCGAGGCGTTCGACGGCCTGTGAGAGGAGGCGCATTAGTTCCTCCTCTATCCCGGCGCGGATCCCCGCCGACTCTCTCGTGGATCCGAGAGATGACCATTCTTCACTGTCTGATGCGAGCAGTGAACAGGAATCCTTCTCCTCCGCGGCGTCATCGGAAGCGACAGAGCGGCCACTCGGCGGCAACTGTATGTCCGGCATGGGCGGGGAGGGAGAGCGGGAAGCGGGAAGCGGCGGCGGCGGCCCGCATGGTTCCGCAGGGGGCTCCGGCGGCCTCTGGGAGCGGCGTTTCTTCTTACGCGGCGAAGAGGGAGGCGGCGCGGGAGCGGATTTTGCTGCCAGAAGTCGTGCCCGCAGGGACGACAACGGCAGGCTCTCACAGAAGTCGCATCCTCCATCCACGAGGGCGAGTTCTGCGTGCTCGAGTCCCAGGCAGAGAGCGCAGATGACATGGCGGTCTCCGTCCTCGAGAGGAGCGCGGCAAGAGCCGCAGGAAAAACAAGACATCTTTAAAAAGACGCTCGGCTCTTTTAGATATATATAGAGAAAAGAGAAGGATACAGTCGTCGGATGGCGCTAGCTTGCAGGGCGGCTGAAGGTGGTGAAGATGGCCGGCTTCTTCAGGGTCCGGGAGCTCGCTAGAGTGATGCCTTCTCGACGGCGACGGCTTTTTTTAGGACAGCAGAAGCGTGCAGCTTGCTGAAGATGAAATGAATCAACATATAAGCCTGGGAGAGACTGTTATATACACCATAGCCACGCCCATTCTGGCAGGCCATGACGCAATGAGCGCGCGGGCGCCTCTCATTGGAAGCGGGTTCAGCCCCGCTCTCCCATAGGCTTAAGCAGTTCTCTCTGAGCGAACCAATGAGCTGCTAGCTAGCCTGCTCTAGGTCTGCCGCAGAGGAACTGCGTTGTCAATGGATACAAATTATGAAATAATTTTTTGGCTTCAATATCTCAGCAAAGATGAATCTTTCCCGCAGCGTAAGCTAGCTTACGCAATACGAGAGAACCTCTCGTAAGAGAACTATCATGTAGTCTAAATTTGGTTTGGTTATTTAGCTCCAATAATGCATACATCGATAGGCAAAGTAAAATGTAAGGAATAGTACACATACTACATTAATCTAAGCAAGGAACAGACAACAATATTTTCATAAACTCACATTCTCATGGACGCATGAAGCAGAACTAAAGAATAGAGATATTTCCCTCTAGATACAGGATCGGAGATGGAGCGAGTGTCTCCGATGAAAGTTACGTGCATAATGACAACAGTCAGGGGTTACGCTAGTGGAGACTGCCTGATTGGTGGAGAAAACAAAGGGGATTGCTGATTGGCCTAACTGTTGCTGGGCACGTGAAAAGTGGAAAGTGACACTACAGTAAACTAGATAATAATAATAATAACTTATTTTAACACAAACACAAGATAAAGTCAGAACCTTATTAACAATACTATATATAAATAAATAATAGTTTTCTCTGTATGGAAATACTGCTTTGTTCTGCTACTGGCTCTCAAAAAAGTACAGAAGGAATTATTTACACCATTCAAATTTTCTTTTTGTAATCTGTACAAATTGTTTAGTCTTTTATTTCAGATTAAACTGTTCCACAAGCAAGAAAGCATTCCAGGACAGAGTGTGTGTCTGGAAGCCCTGTCAGTAAGTTAACATTTATGCATGCATTTAAGAAACCAGAGTCATATTTCCTGCCATGGAACTACTGAGTACTGACATTCAACCTGGTGCATATCATGTGACTGTTCTGATGTGTTTGTCTCTTCCTGCCTTTTTTCAGGTCTGCAGATGCCTCCACCACCTGCATGTAAGTTGTTTTTTTTTTTTTTTTTTTTTTTGCCATGTGCAAGAAACCTGCCATAAATGAACTGACCAATATTCATATCTACTTTCTTTTTAGATGAGTCAACACTAGGGGTGGGCGGTATGACCAAAATTCTATTTCACGGTATGACTAATTTTATTTCACGGTAACGATATATTTCACGATATAGTTATTTATATGTAGTTATTCTCGAAAAATCGACAAAAAGCCAAATACTTTAGAAATGAAAAGTACTTCACATTGTTTTCTGTTTCTCTTATTTGGTAACTTATTTGGTAAACTATTTAGATAGCTAAATATAAACAAAACACACTCATCAACTTTTAGATGAACTGCCCCCAACTGATTGATATTAAATACAACTCATAGGTGCAATGAAACTTTAAATAAAGTGTTTCTGAATAATTTTTCAATCTCATGTTATGCTTTACTTCATCAATCAGTTTATAATATCTGAATATTTTATATTGAACTATTCTATTCATGATAAATTAGTTATTTCCTTTTAATTTTGTATAGTAATACTAGTTATGTTTAAATGTGTTCCCCGGTACATTTTTGTCATGTCTGCTTATAGGCTACACTGCGTTTTTAAGGGGCTTGTTTAGCTCTTTTTGTGATATCTGGCAACCCGTCACCCTGCGCTTTAATCAATAGAAGTTCAGAAGTGACTAGGAGGAGAACAGCAGCTACTGTTAGTGTTGACAAAGTAGCCTAGTTTAAATGATACACACCTTGTAACTGCGTCATTATTTGGCCATAGCCCGGTGAACACCGCGCTCCCTCAGTGCGTGTGCACGCGCGCGTCTTCTGCATCAGTAAAATGCGATCGGTTAATTTAAAGTGTCAATTTATAATCACGTATCGAATCAAAGGAAGATTTTATCAGCTGGTTCGGTGGCCAATTGTTTGGAGTTAGAAATATATAACTCGCGATGCATATTTAGTAATTTTGCCTCAGATAGGCTACAGGATTATACATTCACTTTAACAAGCAGGTTGTTCATTACCACGGGCGCCAAACTGTTTGCGTGTTTTTATGATAACCTCAGTCAGGATTTTTTTCCTATGTGTTTTTATTGCTCTTAGGGCATGAAAAACAAGATTTGATTTTTTTTTTTTTTTTTTTTACAAATTTTCCAAAGAGATTTTCAGGTGTCCACTTGAGTGGACAGCATGCATTTATGGTTTAAACTGAAGAGATACTATATTAAACATAATACAATAATCAAACAGATAAAGTATGTGTATTTAACAAACTAATCAATACAATTATATCAAATCATGTGAAAACTATAAAATATATAAAAAAAATATAAATTCGAAATAATTGCAAATGCAATTGAACTTCATACAAGTTGCACTTCGTGTATCTTTGATATCAGAACATGAGGACGTGATTCCATCAGAAATTTCTACAGCCTGTCAAGGTACAACAGTGGAAACTCGAAACACAACAGCTTGCAACTTGGTTGCAATGTATAGGATGATCCACCAGGGTCCACTGAAGAGATTGATGTGCAACTTTGCCATCAAAACCCTTGCAAATTCAAGAAAATGCTTTTTTAATAGCTGTCCACTGTAGTGACCACTATGCATGAAAGGGTTAAAAACTATACATAAGAGACGGAAAGATGCAGATAACTATACATTATTTAAGGTTATTTCTATTCGTTACGATATTGATGATATATTGTTGTCCAGCTTTCCCCGTTGCGAGCGTGCACTCCTCTAATCTGTAGCCTGGGTGCTGCACTGTTCTAGTGACTGCTACGCCGTTCCCCCCGAAAATATCACGTTAACAACAACAACAACCCTTTAGAAAATGTAATTCCTTTGTGGATCCTCTTGATCTGCTTTCTCCGTGTTTCTTTTAACAATTCTCAGTGTTTCAGTCTCACGCACGTTGCACGCGAGTTAACCATGCCCAATTATTTGCATGTCGCGGTATACACGGAATAAAAAAATCTGTTACGGTTGACATTTTCTACCGCGGTAACGATATATACCGTCATACCGCCCAGCCCTAGTCAACACCACACAGAAAACCAGCCAGTCACCCAGAATTGAATGGGTCTATTGTGACGCAAGCTCAGCCTGAAGGTACAGTGGCTTTGAATTTTCCATTTCCAATTAAATACAATTTCATGACAAGGAACTTGAGAGTAACTTGACTTTTTTGTTGTTGAAAACAGCAGAACTCATCACACAGAGGGAGGTGGCTCAGCCATGGAGACGGAAATGAGTGGTAAGAAGACTCACTTAAGTTGTTCACATATGCAAGTATATAATGTATAACAACTAAAACTAACACCAATAATTTTTCCATAGCCGTGAGGACATCCATTACCCGCATGGCACAGCAGATGGATGCATTTGAGGAGAAGATGGAGCAGAAGATGGAAGAGCTGCTCATGCTCTTAATGAGCTCCCAGTCACCTCCCTCTGCTCCAGTTGATGACATGTTGCTGTCGCCCTGCTCAACAGTCACTGAGCTGGAGGAGTTCGACAGGAATCTCGGTCAACAGGAGAGGAGGGACAACATGGTAATTAAGTGGCCATAGTCCTGCCCTAAGATTAACACTATATAATTGCATAACTTCAAATATCATTATAACTGAACTGACGGCTCTTACAAAATGAGATTGTACAAGCTCTCCACTTTGTTCTACATGTATAATTTGCATTTCTATGTGTTTTACAGCAACTTTTCCTGACAACCCTTGGAGGTTCGACCAGAGGTACTGCCATCCGTCGCATGCTACGGCGAGTGGCAACCAATGACGTGCTAAAACAGTATAGTCTGCGGGGCAGAAAGGCAAAGAAGGCCTTCCAGGACCTGGCAATCTGCACGGTTATTACAGGCAGGTGTTATTTTATTGTTCACATCAGTATTATTCTTAGCTTGAAGGTTTTAATTTGACTTGTAACTATGCTTCATTTTGACTTCTACGCTAGCGGCCTCCCAGAAAAACTTCCCCGCGCTGACTGCAGCAGGAGGACTTGATTGGGCAAGTGCTAAAGTTTGCCCCACACAGACGGTAAATTGAAATTCTTCTGTGATGTTCATAATAATCAATGGAATGGGAAAACTACCAATATTTGTGATCATAAAAAACAGGGTTGTTAGTAAAGCAATTTGTCTTGCTTTTGTCAACGTGTTCATTCTTAGTTTGACATATCCAACTTTTGTTTCTTTCTTTTTAGGCCAACTGAGAAGGACTGAGCCTTCAGAACCATGGAGCTCTATTTTTTTATTATTGTATTTTTGCCACTTTGGCCATTCACCTACACATTACATACTTTATCATTCCAATATGCATCTTGCACACTACATTTACACTATTACTTTGCACTCTTCATCCCACTCCATTTGTACTTGTATTGATATTATGTCATAGTTGTATACTAAAACTGTATAAAACTGACTCTGATTCGTGTATTATTTTTTTAGGCCTTTTATATTTTTTTGTATTTTCATTTTATATTAAAGTTTTAAATCCCATCAAGTTTGCCTGTTTGTTCATTCATTCATTCATTCCTGCTGATATATAATAATTCATTCCTGATCATGCACAGACAGTTTAAAGTAATAATAAAATTGGTGCCATTGTTGTTAAAGTTTTTTAAAGGTTAGGAGAATGTAAAAAAGAACGTTAGGGGAACGTTCCCTAAAGGTTGCCTAAAGGTTGCAATGTAACTAAAAACTAACGTTCCCTGAACATTAAGAAAACTTTCCATGGGAACCAAAACCATAACCTTAAGGGAATGTTCCCGCAACCAAAAACTAACGTTCCCAGAACGTTCTGGGAACCATAAATTGTTAGCTGGGTAAGCTCTATTGGACGATTCTGCACTTCACTCTTCCACACCACCTTTCCAACAGCTGTTTGGCGTTGTCCGTTGGCTAAAAGGAAAGTTTGTCCCCCACCAGGTAGGTATATTTTCTTGACGGCTTAACTGTTTCCAGCATGATTTTTGAATTAATTTGAATTAATGACAAAGTACTGCCAGTGTCCACCATAGCAGTTACATGCGTGTCTTGTAGAGTTATAGGAATGATACGGTTTCTGATGTCATGTTGCATGGAATTTTGGCAAGTCTGGACAACTCTGGTATTGGCTGCTGCTGATTTGCGTTGTGAATCGTGATCTGGAGGATTTCTCTTCTTTTGCTCATCTCCATTAACTTGACTCCAGTATTTCTTGGACTCAAAAAAATCTCGTTCTATCTGTGTACCTACTTTTACAAGTTCTCCTACATCTTTTATATTGCCACGTAGCAAACTAGCAAGCCGTGGGTTACAGTTACGTAAAATAGCTTGCACTACCTCTCTTTCTACCATGTCCTTCTTCCATCTCAAGCAAAGAGCTCGATAGTGAAAAGCAAAGTCTCTGAAACTTTCTCTTGCACCTTGTCTCCTCTCCATCAGCTTCCTTACTGCCAACTCTTCATAATCCTCACTGAGAAAAGATTGCAGAAATAATTTTTTAAACTGTTTCAGTCACGGACATTCCCTTTCTCTGCCATCCACCAATCTTTTGCAGTATGTTTAAGTACAGCAGTTAAAGAAGCCAAAATTTCACTATTCTTCAAAGGTCGAACAGCGAAATACTCCTCACATCGTTCGATGAATAAGATAGGATCTTCATCCGGGCTATTGCTGAAACTAGGGAACTCAAGTTTGACTGGTGGGTTCATAGTGCGAATAACAGGGGGTACTGGGTCTTCATTGGGGGGTATAGTATCCCCCAGTACCCCCTGTAATTCGCACTATGAACCCACCAGTCAAACTTGAGTTCCCTAGTTTCAGCAATAGCCCGGATGAAGATCCTATCCCCCAAAGGGACAGAAATATCAGTTTTGGGGGGGTCAGATAATTTTCCTGATATTGTGAAAAAATATAATTACAGTTACAATACAAGTCAACTCCTATTTTCACTGTAGGAACATTTTAATGTAAAGCGATTTCAGCGAACACCCCTTGTGGACCGTACCATTTTTAACCACCGTGGAGATAGAGAAGGGCAGCTAGCCGAGTGAGTTGTTGTTGTTGTGCTCCTGCTAATGTACGGACAAAGTTGCGCTGTTGTTGACCCCAGAGGGTTAAGAAACAATATATAGGCTACACACGACCAGAGTGCTGTTTTCCTGAATGCCATCACGATTATAACAGTTCGATAAACAAGTAAAATAGTTCAAATTAAGTTACTTACATTTTTAGACGCAATGACTGTTTTTGTTCTGTTTCAGCAGCGAAAATAGTTCCAAACAACAGAACCACAGCGCATCTCAGAGCAACACTCATCCATGATTCATTACTGAATAATTCAGCGTTTTGAACTAATCGCTCGAGTCAAAGATTCAATTACCCATTATTAAACCGCCTCATTCTGAATAAATCAGCCGTTTGAACGAATCGTTTAAATGAATGACTCAATGAATCGCTCACTAAGACGCCCGCCTGCCGCCTCCTACTGGCGGTTTAGTTTCAAAGTATCATTCTTTTCAACATTCCTTATATTATTCAAAAAATATTTAAAAAAATCTCATAATCTCATTTAATACAGTTATAATTTTTCAATGTAAATTATTTAATTTGATTGGCCGCTAGGCTGTCTTATTATTTTAATTGAATGTAGCCTATTAATAAAATGTAAGAATTTGAAATGAAATTTAGAGCATACATTAAATAAAATTAAGGAAAACTGCCCTTTTATAAAGGTACATAAAATTATTCAGATAAGAGTGTTTTCAAAAATGAGGGAAGGAGCAGTACCCCCCAATTATGGTGGGGTAATTCGCACTCTGGTTGTACTGGTTTGAACTGTCCATGACAGATTGATTATTTGACTGAAGACTGTAGGTTTGATCTCTCAGTGATCTGTGAACAGTATTGGTATTCTTAGGCTGAATTGGGGTGGATATAAAAGGCTGGAAAGCTTGTAATCTCTGTTCCAATTGTTGGTCTCTTCTCTTCAAACAGTCTAGCACTGACTGTTCAAGATCTTGAATGCTCAGTTCTAGATGTTTTTTCACTCTGCTGCACTCACGGTCTATTTGGCATAACAATTTATCTTCTGTGGCTTTGCGTTGCGATTCAACATCAATGAAGGAAACTTGTTCACTCACAAGTTGATTTATGTCGGTAATCCGCTCCTCGAGTTTGGTGAAACGTTCTGTGAGTTGTTCTAACATATCTGAAACAGCCGTGGAAGGATGGTATGTCGGTTCCGCATAAATTTCAGGTGGTGGTGGAGGTAGAAATTGGACTTCCTTTTGGCCGTCATCCACAATTTCTTCCTCCTCTGAATCAAGGTACAGATCACTGAACGTATTAATCAACTCTAGTAGTGGTTCTCTGTGGGTGCTAAATGGTGCAGATGAGAAATCTGTATTGGGTACGGGCTCATCCTCATCCAACACTTCTAGACTAGCCATTTTATTTATTTATTTATTAACGTGTAAGGGTTTATATTGTGACAAACACTGGTATATTTTCAACAACCTATATGAAGTCTGTGGGTCCCTGTTCGGGCGCCATTTATATAACCACTGTCCACTTTAGTGGCATGCAGCCATATATATATCTGAATAATAGGAGGGGCCCACCAACTAAGAACGTATTGTTGCAAAATCTTAATATGTTACCCAGTTGTAAAGCCACAAACAATAAAGACAGAAATGAACTTTTTATACATTTATATCAATTTAGGAAACAAAAAAAAACAAAAAAAAAACAATGCATTTATATGAAAATAAATTGAAATGAAACCAGTTCAACAAATGAAAACAATATCCACCCGCATGGTCTATAAAGAAAGACTTAATCAATAGAAAAGAAAAGTACAAATGAAATCTTGTAATTGAATGATTCTTTGAGTAATTAATGGAATCACTACAAAGAAAATTGAAATAGTCTATTTTCAGGATGAAGTCCAAAGCAAAAAAAAAAAAAACCTTCAAGTGCTCTTCCAGTAGTCCAAGGAAATCCATAAAAAAACGTCTCAGGTTACGTATGTAACCCTGGTTCCCTGAGAGGGAACGAGACGCTGCGTTTGAGACGCGGTGGGAACGCTCTGCGTGATTGCGTCATGAAGCACGTGTAAAATCAGTCCAATGGAAGCCCGATACGTCATGGGTGACGTCATAGACCAGGAAACTATAAAGCACCCTTGAAAACAGACCGCGACAGCTTCTGAAAAAGTCTGAAGCAAGTCGATCAGGGCATGCAAGTATGGCAGGCAAACGCAGCGTCTCGTTCCCTCTCAGGGAACCAGGGTTACATACGTAACCTGAGACGTTCCCTTTCAAGGGAACTTCGAGCTGCGTTTGAGACGAGGTGGGAACCCCATACCCACTACGCCATAGTGACAAATGCCCGTTCTGTGT